GATAAAATCTCTGCAGGCAAATATTTGAGAATTTATGAAGAATTAGGTCAGAGTAATAGGATTTAGAGTTTTTATTTTTATAGAAGAGATGTTATTTAAGGGGACAGACTTGCAACTAGTAAATAAGTTCTGGGGTACTAATGTACAGTATAGTGAATATAGACAATGATACCGTATTGTAATCATCAGACTTGCAAAGAGACTAGATATTAATTATTTGATGGTAATTATAACTTAGGATTTCTGGTAGATTAGGACCTATTTTCCTTTTGGTCTTTGTTGACATTAGCAAGTATTATGATTATCTCCCATATATCATAGCCTGATAATTAACTATCTTTGAGGCTCATACATAGAGTGATCTACAAAGAGGATTATTTTAATAAATAGTGTTAAGCAAGTATTGACCCTAAAGTATGAATTACTTATTTTATAAGAAAAACCTCTCTTGCCCTGGCCGGTTTTGCTCAGTGGTTAGAGCGTCAGCCTGCGGACCAGAGTCCTGGATTCAATTCCAGCTAAGGGCAAGTACTTCAGTTGCGGTTTGTCCCCGGCCTCAGTTGGGGTTGTGCAGGTGGCAGTCAATCCATGTGGCTCTCTCACATCGATGTCTCTCTTTTTCTCCCTCCCTCCCACTTCATTTGAGGATAAATGTAAAAATATCCTCAGGTGAGGATTAAAAATAAAGAAGAAGAAAGAAAAACCTCTCTTTCCATAGCAGTTAATGTCTAAGACTGCTTTCTCTTTATTATGGCAAAGATTAATTGATGTCTCTTTTTAATAAAACAAAAGCTACCATAGGTTTTCTTTCTTTTTTTTTTTAAGACAAGTTATCTTTTTTTTCTTTATTGATTATAGGGAGAGGGAGAGAGAGATGAAGACATCGGTGAGATAGAACATCGATTGGCCGCCTCCTGCATGCCCCCAACCAGGGATCTGACCTACAACCTGAGCATGTGCTCTGATCGGGAATTGAACCGGGAACCTCTTGGGGTATAGGGCGATGTTCAACCACCGAGCCACACCAGCTGGGCTCTTTCTTTTTTTAAAATTACAATTTACATTCACTATTATTTTGTATTTGTTTCAGGTGTAACAATAGGTTTTATGTTATAAAATAATGTTGCTGAAATCATCTATTAATACATGAAAGATTATCTTCAAAAAAGGAAAATATAAAGTCTATATATACAGTATTGTCACCCTTAGGATCAATTAAGAAAAGTGATATGTGTACAGAGGGCATTAGAAGAAGGAAGGAGAAGAGGAGAGGAAGGGTTTTTGTGGCTTGGTGTCTTTTATTCCTTTTCAGAGATGCAGAAAGAAATACCTGTGATTCTGTCTGTGGACCCTTTTTCATTCAGTTCTTATATGTTTATTATACTTCTCTGGTAATTAATCTTTCCAAAAGGAATTGATTTATCCGGTTTTGTTTTTCTTCTTGTATACCTTAAGCACTGCAGCAGCACTTAGCAGACATTAATGTGGACGGACCAGAAAATGGATATGGCCATTGGATTGCTAGTACCTCAGGCTCAAGGAGTAGTATCACTTCTTCTGTTGATGTAAGTATATGTATATATGTCACCACATTCAGATAAATGCCCAGAAAAGGTGATTAACTACTAAACCTCTACCATAACAGAAATGGAGTCAGAGTTTTCAGACACATATAACTAGGAGTCACGTTATTGTGAGTTTAATGAAATGATGGAGCAGGCCTGCACAGCTAAACTAGCCTGGAGTGCAGGAGGTCTACCTGCTGAATTCATGTTTTTCCCTGTCCCACTGCAGTTTGGTGTCACCTAGTGACAGTTTTCTGCTCCAGCTGAAATATCATTGGAAGTAACTTTGAGTTCTGTGATGAGCTGGCAGTCTCAAGAGAACGTATTCTAGGAATCTCCCAGTTTGGGCCAGGATTATACTGAGGCCAATGGTTGCATTTCCTGCATACCATGTCTACTCCTCCCCACCATAAACTTAGATTACAACTTTTGTCTACCCATATTTGATAATGGATCATACAGAGGAAGACAGGAACCTGGTCCCAATATATTTACTTTTCAGTTTTTGAAATATACATTTCTTTAAGATTGTGCTATATTAGATAAATTCATTTTCTGTTCTACTTTGGAAATACTTGGGCAATAAATTGCACTTTTTCAATATTTCACGTCAGTCAAATGAGATGTCATTAAATCATTTTCTTAAGTAGTAATCCTCATCTACCTAATGATTATTCTTTAAAGCAGAAATAGAAGGAAAAACTGCAGTAGAGAGTCATGGTTACTAGTTTCAGCTTACAGGTGTGACATACTGGGAAGTTCAGGTTTTATCTCTATGACTTATTTTCTTCACGATCTTCAGTAAGATCTTTTCAGCCCTGGTTTCTTCATCTATGCAGTGCAGATGGAAATAACAGAACTTTCCTCATAAGGATGACATGAGGATTAAATATGCAAGTGAATGTAAGGTGTAGTACCTGTCACTTACCTATTTAATATTATTTATTATAAAATTATAACAAATTAGATATATTAATTAAGGTTTATCTTCAGTAAAAGTCAAAGCAAATTCTTGTCAGATTATCAGCAAATAAGGCTTCTCTGAGAATTAAGTTTTCAAATTGATTCTCTAGGTATCTCAAGACTTCTTCATGTGAGATCACCATTTATTTAATAAATATTTGCCATGATTTTTTTTTTTTTAATCTTCACCCAATAATATGCTTTCTTTTTTAGATGATTTTAGAGAGGAAGAGAGTAAGGAAGAGAGAGAGAAACATTGATGTGAGAGTGAAAACACTGATTGGTTTCCTCCTGCATACACCCTGACTGGGGATTGAACCTAAAACCCAGGCATGTGCCCCAACCAGGAATCAAACCCATGAACTTTCAGTGCACAGGACAATGCTCCAACGGTGTCACACTGACCAGAGCTGATTTCTTCTTTCTTTTTTTTTTATCCTCACCCGAGGACATTTATGCATTTCATTTATCTTCAGCCAGAGGAGGAGGGAGAGAGGGAGGAAGAGAGAGAGAGAAACAATGACGTGAAAGAGACACATCGATTGGCAGCCACCCACACGACCCCAGCTGGGGCTGGGGACAAACTACAACCGAGGTACATGCTCTTAATGGGAACCGAACCTGGGTCTCTCTGGTCCACGGGCCGACGCTCTATAACAGCTGAGCCAAACCAGCCAGGTCCCATTTTCTCTTTTAATAATTAAATAATATTCCATTATATGAACATATTATAATTTATTAGGTTAGCCCTCTATTATTGAATATTTACCTTGCTTACACTCTTTTTTTTTTTGTTATAAATACTACTACAATTAACTTTATGAGGTAATATATTTGTATATGTTATGATTATTTAGTCCTAGAAGTGGAATAACTTGATCAAAAAATTACTTATCAATATTCTCAGAATTCTGCATTATTATCAAATTACCTTCCAGAAAACATTATTTCCATCTGCAGTATCAGGTTTTCAATTGAAGATTTTATTTTCAGATTTCAATAACACTGATTGAGGCTGGTAAAGAAGCTGCTTTAAAGATGTATTACATTCAGAAGTACCAAAGAATTTCCACAGTCAGCATAATTTGGTTTTGAATTTGGATATGGAAATAAAAACACTTTTTGTGTGTTTTGTTTAGTTAATGACTTATTTCTCATAAAATTAAAAACAACAGCCCTGGCTGGTTTTGCTCAGCAGTTAGAGCGTTGGCCCTTGGACCAAAGGGTGGTGGGTTCAATTTTTGGTCAAGGGCATGTACCTGGGTTGTAGGTTTGTCCCCAACAGGTTGGGGTCGTGCAGGAGGCAACCAATCAATGTTGTTTCTCTCATCAATGTTTCTCTCTCTCTCCCTCCCTCCCTTCCACTCTGTCTAAAAAAATCAGTGGAAAAATAATCCTTGGGTGAGGATTAACCACAGCCAAAATAAATAATAAAAACAATGTATTTATTGTAGCATCATAAATAAATATGAAAAGTATAAAAACAAATCACCTATAACCCTATCAAAGATAACTGCTATTTATATTTTGAAATATTTTCTTCAAATCTTTTTTTTTTTATATCCTCACCTGAGGACATTTTTCCTTTTTTTTTTTTTATCCTCACCCAAGGATATTTTTCCATTTTTTGTACAGATAGAGTGGGAGGGAGAGAGAGGAAGGAAGAGAGAGAGAGAAACATCGACGTGAAGGGACACATCGAGTGGTTGCCACCCGCACGACCAACCGGGGACAAACTGCAACCGAAGTACGTGCCCTTAGCGGGAACCGAACCCGGGTCTCTCCGGACCGCAGGCCGACGCTCTAACCGCTGAGCCAAATTGGCCAGGGCCATTTTTCCATTTTTTATTCAGATAGAGCTGGAGGGAGAGAGAGGAAGAGAGAGAGAAACATCGACGTGAAGGGACATATTGAGTGGCTGCCACCCGCACGACCAACCAGGGCCGGGGACAAACTGCAACCGAGGCACATGCCCTTAGTGGGAACCGAACCCGGGTCTCTCTGTACCGCAGGCCGATGCTCCAACCGCTGAGCCAAACCGGCCAGGGCTTCAAATCTTTTTTAATGCTTGTGTATTTTAGTATTTTATTTTAAAAGTAATGAGAATATAGCCCTGGCCGGTTTGGCTCAGCGGTTGGAGCGTCAGCCTGCGGTACAGAGAGACCCGGGTTCGGTTCCCGCTAAGGGCACGTACCTCGGTTGCAGTTTGTCCCTGGCCCTGGTTGGTCGTGCGGGTGGCAGCCACTCGATGTGTCCCTTCACGTCGATGTTTCTCTCTCTCTCTTTCTCTCTCTCCCTCCTGCTCTATCTGAACAAAAAATGGAAAAATGTCCTCGGGTGAGGATAAAAAAAAAAAAAAGTAATGAGAATATACACATAATTTTATTTTCTGCCATTTCACTGAATATATGAGCATTTTCTAGTGTTTTTAATTGCTTTTTTAAAAAACATGGGTTTTTGTTCTTGTTTCTCTGTTATAGGAAAGGCAAGTGGCCGCTGCAGGTATCATGCTGACCTGAGCTGTCAGTTTCCATGTTGCTCTCACATGCAGTTGGAGAGCCTGTGGCTACAACCTGCCACAGCCCTTGGAAACATGCTGTAAAGCGTGGTTTTTTATATCTGTATAATTTTCCATCGAATAGTACCTAAATCCTAGGGCACTTTCTGATTAGTTCCTTCCCATAAATTGTGAAGAGGATTGGTACACTTGGAAACTTTTGACACCTGTCACCAATTTGCCCTCTAGGGTGTACATGGGAACAATTCTATGAAACAATTGAAGAATTATACTCACATCTATTACATTAGGTACACCAGGATAACGTTTCTTGAGAAATTAGAGGCCTAAGTGAAAATGTTTTAAAAAGCAAAAATTTACAAGGAATAAATGTTTAAAAATTTAGCTACATGAATGATATCTTGATTAAAGCCCCCCCCCTCCCATTTTATTGCACTTTACTCAGTGGTACTTTGCAGATATTACGTTATTTTACAAATTGCAAGATTGTAACCAAATTGCATGAAGCAAGTTGACGGCATTTTCCAACAGCGTTTGCTCAATTCCTGTATCTCTGTTATATTTTGGTAGTTCTCACAATATTTCAAAATTTTTCATTATTATTCGTTATGATTATCTGTGATCATTGACCTTTGATGCTTTTGTTGTTAATTGTTTTGAGCTGCCATGAACTGCACCTGTATAAAAGAGAGCAAACTTTAAAAAATGTGTGTGTTCTGACTGCTCCACAAATTGGGTCATTTCTCCATCTCTCTCTCTCTCTCTTTGGGCCTCTCTATTCTCTGAGACATAACAATATTGAAACTAGGCCAGTTGATAACTTACAATGGTCTCTACATGTTCCAAGTGAAAGGAAGAGTCACAAGTCTCTCACTTTAAATCAAAAGCTAGAAATGATTAAGGTTAGTGAGGAAGGCATGTTGAAAGCCAAGATAGGCTGAAAGCTACATCTCTTACGCCAAACAGCCAAGTAGTGAATGCAAAGAAAACATTTTTAAAGATTAAAAGTGCTACTCCAGTGAACACATGAATAATAAGAAAGCTTAGGAGCCTTATTGCTGATATGGAGAAAGTTTTAGTGGCCTGGATAGAAGATGAAACCAACCACAACATTCCCTTAAGCCAAAGCCTAATTCAGAGCAAGGCCCTAACTCTCTTCAATTCTGTGAAGGCTGAGAGAGGTGAGGAAAAGAAAAACTTGAAGCCAGCAGAGGTTGCTTCATGAGGGTTAGAGGAAAGACGCTGTCCCTGTAACAGAAGTGCAGAGTGAAGCAGCAAGTGCGTGTGTAGAAATTGCAGCAATTTAATCCAGTAGATCAAGCTAAGATAGTTTATGGTGTTGGCTACACTAAACAGATTGTCACTGTGGAAGAAATAGCCCTATTTTGGAAGAAGATGCCATCTAGGATTTTCCTAGCTAGAGAGAAGTCAATGGCTGGCATCAGAGCTTTAAAGACCAGTCTGACTCTCTTAATTAGTGACTATTGAAGTCAGTGCTCACTTAGCATTCTGAAAATCCTAGGGTACTTAATTATACTACATCTACTCTGTCTGTGCTCTATAAATGGAACAAGAAAACCTGGATGACAGCATATCTGTTCACACCATGCTGTACTGAGTATTTTAAGCCCACTGTGGAGACTTACTGCTCAAAAAAAAAAAAATTCTTTTAAATATTACTGCCAATTGACAGTAATGCACCTGGTCACCCAAGAGTTCTGCTGAAGATGTACAAGGAGATTAATGTTGTTTAGCCCATGGATCAAGGAGTAATTTTGACTTCCAAATCTTATTTAAGAAATACATTTCATAAGACTATGACTGCCATAGATAGTGATTCCTCTGATATATCTGGGCAAAGTAAATTGAAAACCTTCTGGAAAGGATTCACTATTCTAGATGCCATTAGGAACAATTTACAATTGATAGGAAGACATCAAAATACCAGCATTAACAGGAGTTTGGAAGAAGTTGATTCCAACCTGCATGGATAACTTCAGGGTTCAAGACTTCAGTGGAGGAAGTAACTGAAGAAGTTGATTCCAACCTTCATGGATAACTTCAGGGTTCAAGACTTCAGTGGAGGAAGTAACTGCAGATGTGGTGGAAATAGCAAGAGAATTAGAATTAGAAGTGAAGCCAGAAGATGCCACTGAATTGCTGCAGTCTCATAAAACTTTAATGGATGGGGAATTGCTTCTTATGGATGAGCAAAGAAAGTGGTTCTTGAAATGGAATCTACTGGTAAAGATGCTCTGAAGATTGTTGAGATGACCACAAAGGATTTAGGATAGTGTGTGTGTGTGTGTGTGTGTATGTATGTGTGTATATATATATATATATATATATATATATATATATATATATATATATATATATATATATATATATATATATATAAAAATATATAATTATATATATAATTATTAATTTATGGTTTGTATCTACTAATAGTTCATAAACCAGTATCAGAGTTTGAGAGGACTTACTCCAGTTTTGAAAGAATTTCTAGGTAAAATGCTTTTAAATAGCATTGCATGCTACAGAGAAATTGTTTGTGAAAGGAAGGGTTAATGAGGCAAACTTCATTGCTATTGTATTTTGTTTTTTTTTAATCCTCACCTGAGCATATTTTTCCATCTATCTTAAGATAGAGTGAGAGGGAGAGAGATGTGAGACACACCAGTCGGTTTCCTCCCGCTCAACCCTGACTAGGGCTGGGGACTGAACTGCAACTGAGGTAGTGCCCCTGTCCAGAATCGAACCTGCAACTCTGGTCCGCGGGCTGATGTTTCAACCACTGAGTCAAACTGGCCAGGGCATTTTGCTATCTTATTTTAAGAAATGTCCACAGTCACTCCAACCTTCAGCAACTACCATCCTGATCAGTCAGCAGCCATCAACATCAAGGCAAGACTCTACCAGCAAAAAGATTACAACTTGCTGAAGGCTCAGATGATGGTTAGCGTGTTTTAGCAATAAAAGTTCAGTCCATGACATCTAGATAACCGTTAGCAGTAGTGTGTCTGTCTGCTAATCTTTTGGAGAACAGTTCTTTAATAATTTTTTTTTTTTTCAGGGTGAATCTTCTAATGGTTTGAATGATAGAGGAATGAAATCACTAGTAAATAAAATGACTATTGCTTTGAAGACAAAATCCGTTAATGTCAGGGAAAAGGTTATCAGTTTTATTGAGAATACATCAGCTCCTGTTGATCGGTGAGTTGCTTATACCATATAAGTTTATGATGAGTAATTAAAACTAAAGAAAAATATCTTACAGTAAATATTAGTTGAATTGAATGTGTTCTAGAAAAGGATCACAAAGTACATTTTTTATTAGATGGTTTCAGTTTTCATTATAATTGTGGATGTCCTTTATTGCTGTAAAATTTGTCTACAGATTACTTTTTTTCCCTCCCACTGCTCAGAATAAGGTGCAAGTAATGATTCTTCCTCTTTATGCCACTCATTAAAAAATATATTCAAATGTCATTTTATGTTTTACACTTAATATGGTAGCTACTTCCCACGTGTCAAATGGGAATCATTTACTAAATGCAGTGATCTCATAGCAGGAACCTCTTCCTGTACTTCAGGAATTTAAAACCTGGAAAATTTGGTCGTGCTAAATCTAGCAGAAATCCATTTTCTTAAGTTTAAGAGTTTAGATTTTCATAGAATTTTGTTCACAGAATATAAGGGACCCTTATTTTCCCATGAATTACAAATGAAAAGCATAGGCTACAAAAAATAAGCAAGTTTCTTTCTTACACTGTTTCTTATGGAACTGTGAGTGCACAATGTATTTTTTGTCCACACAGTAGTCTAACTGAATTTTCTTGTTCCTAGAGTTCAAAGCTAACCTAATAATTCAGTGCAAATTTTGTTTCTAAGCAAGCTTGATCTAGTATGTGTTACAGTATTTAATTTCACTCTCATGTCTTAGAGTATCCTAGGAAAGTTGAAATATTTGACTTTAGGAACTGAATGTCAGGAATTTACTATTTGTCTCTTTTTAAAGTATAGTACATACACATACAAAAATACATTGCTCCCATTTAGTAAATAGTGAAGAAGAGAATAGGTTGTTTTCACTGATCTAAGAAATTGTATGTTGTCTAAAATAGTCAACTGATAAATAATTATTCAAGTGTTCTATCACAAAAGATTTTTTTTTTTTGCTCATTAAAGTATATGATTGCTCTCAAAAGCCTCTTAACATTTTTACTTTTAAAGTGCATTCTGAATAACAGTACTATTACTTCTACATTTTGTAGCATTGACATTAAATTTTTAATTTACAATGCATTAATTATATTTTTAAATGAACTAGTGATAAGTCTAAATTAAAAAGACTTGTCTTTGTTAAAAAATGACTTGAAATGGGCTTTTTTTTTTTTTCATTTTTCTTTGTACTTTGGATGATTGAAACATTTTCTTTATAATGTACACTCTGGGTTAGAAAAACTGATTATACTGTATTTTTGTTTCAAAGCTTTTGTGTATTTTATAATCATTTTATTCTGTCATCTACCTCAATTTGCTATAGAATGTCTTTCAATCTTCCTTGGCCAGACAGAACATGTACAGAGCGGTAAGCCAATGAGTAGAGCAGCTTTGTTGGACTATCCTTTTCTTTTAGCATGCTTTATGCCATCTATAAGCCTCATGCTGTCTTGGCTAAAATTTCATGTAGCTCAGATGTTAAACTTTTCTCATTCTGCTTTTAGGAGTACATGTGATGCTGATCTCTTTTTGTTTTTTGCTTTGATAATTAAAAAAAGTTTTTTTCTTGCATGCTTCTTTGTGTCTCCCATTCCTCAGATGAAAGTCAAGTACATTCAAACCCAAGAACTTCATAAACCTGCAGCTTTTATTCTGAGACAGAGGAAGGTGAAACAAAGAAAATAAGTAGTCTCAGAGTTGTCAGGGTATTTAGCTTTGGAGTTCATTTATTTCGGTGTCCTACCCTTACAGTAGAGAAAATTATAGTATCTGGAAAAAGACACAATTCATGGTTCAAAATTTTGGTTAATTCATGTACATTATGTCATTTTACAATATTTTAGATTTTTCTT